AACACACTGACTCTGAAAAGTTCCTGCAGCACTTCTCTCTGTCTGGGGGGGGGGGGGGGGGGGGTAGGAGCACGGAGACATTGCCAGGAAACTTCTAATAGAAAAATTATATTGCGGAGCAGGGAGATAGCTTTGTGCTAGAATACTTGCCTTGTATGAGAGGCCCTGGGTTCAACTCCCACCCTAAACATTAAAAAATAAGAAAAGAAAGAGAAGCTCTTGTGGCTAAGTGTAGCTACACCCTCACCTATAGCTTCCCAGGCCCAGCATGCTGGGAAGACTTCCCTTCATCCTCCCTCTGGAAGCTTCCCTGGACCACACATCAGGACCCCAGTGTGGGCTCAGCCCCTTTCCCTATGTACACTCGCACCCACCATGTATGCACACATAGGCACATGCAGGTATGCGCATGAACATCCTCAACCACCATGAAAACTTATATCTAACAGACTCTAAAGGATGGTTCTAGGCCAAGGGGTGAGCGGACAGATGTCACATTTGAGTCCCAGTGCAGCCAGTGACTTGGGATGGCCCTGCCATGTTGCTGACACTGTCCAAATCATAGCCAGAGTTTCAGAGGTGTTGCCAGGCTGAAGAGCTGGAAGCAGCAGCGAGGCCTTCACCTCCTTCTCTTTAGGGTCACTGACCGGCCCTGAGTCTAGCAGTAACCCCTGCAGGATGCCACAAGGTCTTGAATGAGGACAGATTCAGGGCAGCAGGACTTCCTGGCCATGCTCTTCCCAGCGGCCCCTTTAGCTGGCCACTGAGGTTTCCTTGGCTTCTACGTCTGGGCACCACTGTAGGTTACGTGCGACTCTGCGTGCACGTGCCTTGAAAGCAGCCACACACACGGTGAATGATTGCTGGCAAGCAGCCTTCACTGCAGGAATCAACAATTAGGAGATTTATAGACAAAAGCCCCATCAGAATAATTTTTTTTTTGTCAAACAAATTGTTCATTTATATAAATAAAAGCTTAGGCCTTAATCAGAGCTGTCAACACCAGAAAGTGCTGGGTGCACTTACACTGCTGCTGTGCGGTGAATTTCCAAGGGAAAAGTCAGACCACAAGAACGCTGCGAACACTGTTTAAGTAAGGAGTTAATTAGAAAACTGGGCTTGGAAATGAAAGCTTAAGCAGACACACAATGGATTAAAAGGCATGTCTTCCTCTTAGGAAGCGGAGGCAATTTTCTGTTGTGGGATAAACACATACGTGGGCACACAGGTTCTGTGTGTGTGCACGTGTGTTTGCCAAGAACTTGTTCTACCCTCACACAAATGCAAGCGTGGACATGCACACCCATACTTACGTGTGAGCCACTGTACATTTCTGTGACACAAACATCTGCTATAATGGGAACAATGCAGTATTGGCATCAGAACAAAACATATAGATCAATGAAACAGAAATAAAGCCATGCATATAGTTGGTTTGTGACAGTGGAGGCCATAGCAATCTGTAGGGGAAAGACAGTCCTCCATGAATGCTGTTGGAAGACAGGGCGGCCATCTGTAAAAGAATGTATTAGAGAGACATGGGTGATGGTTCAGGGGCAGCACGCTTGCCTTGCATGCAGCCAACCCTAGTTCAATCCCTAGCACCCCATATGGTCCTCCCAGCACCAGCAGGAGTAATTTCTGAGTTCAGAGCCAGAAGTCAGCCCTGAGCGTCCCAGGGTGTAACCCAGAAACAACAACAATGAAATAATGCCCAAAATAGATTGGGGCCTTGAATGGAAATCTTAAACCATAAAATTTCTAGAAGAAAGCAGATGAATCTGTTGTCTGTTTGCTCCCACTGGGGCCAAAGTCAGCAGTGCTGAGGAGCTTCTCCAGGTTCAGTGCTTGGAGATCACTCTCAGCAGAGCTCAGGGGACCTTACAGTGCCAGAAAACAAACCCAGTGCTTTGCATGCAAAGTGTGTGCTCCTGTCCCAGAGCCATCTCGCCAGTTCCTGGGTCACCTCCTGATAGCAGAGTCAGAGAGGTGATTCTGGATTTGACATCCAAGGTGGGGGCAATAATAGTGAGAATAACCACATGAAAATGAAAGGCTTCTCACACCAAGGACTCCAGAAAGAAAGTACCAACTACAGAATGGAAGAGGAAACTCCAGATCATGTGTCCAATAGAAGGCTAATATCCACACTGTATGAAGAACTCTTACAATTCAATCAAAATCATCAACACAGGACTGGACAAATACATCAATGGGTGCTTCTCATTCAAAAGATCCAAGTTCAAGCCCTGGCACCATATGATCCCCCAAGAACCACCAGGAGAAACCCCCAAGCCCCCACCCCAGTATAGAGTTGGGAGTGAACCTCAAGCACTGCCAGGTGTGGCCCCCAAACATAAAAACAAAACTAAACTGGTAAGTTAGAATGGAAAAACTAAAGAAATGTGTTTTTTTCCAAAGAGGACATACAAATGACCCACAGAAAATGAGCGAATGTCCAGCATTACTAATCCTTAGGGAATTGCAAGCCAAAGTCACAGCGAGCTATCAGCTCACTGCAGTTAAAGTGGCCGTCATCCAAAATACAAGAAGTGAATGTTAGTGAGGATGTCTCGAAAGAGATCCCTGAGGCCCCAGTTGGGGTCAGTTGGTGCAGCAGCTATGGGAACAGTATCAAGATTTCTCAAAAAAAAAGAATAGAGCAACCATATGGACGAGCAATTCCTCTTCTGGGTACTTACCCGAAGACAAGGAAATTGCTACTTAAAAAATTATTCATTGCAGTATTTATAACAGCTTATCTGTGGAAGCAACCCAAGTGCCCATTAATGGATGAATGGTGAAGGAAAAGTGTTTCATTGAATGTATGGCTTAATCAGCATTTAGAAAAATGCATCATTTAAGTGATCAGTGTCATCACTGCGGGAACCTGTTATTGTTACCCAAACTCAGTCTAGCTTCGACACAGCTGGCCCCTATGGTAGAACTTGTGGCTGCCATCATCTGTATATTGTCCATTGTCAACTAAAGCAGCATGAAGTGATGCTTATCTTTACTTGCAATGGTGAAACACTCAGCCATGAGGAAGGGGGGAAAGTTCTGCAGACAATAGCTGCGTATGGCAGGCCCTGCAGATTTCTGCAGCCCGTTGCTTGGGCAAGCCTTTGGGGGCCTTTAAAATAACCCTTTGCAGAGGGTATTTATGTCTGCCCTCATGTTCTCCCCAATATTAGATTCCAAACAAGTATGTGAGGTGCCTTGAGAAAGCCCCAGGGCATGGGGCCAGCGGCTACTTGGGTCAGGTCATTATGTCCAATTGCACCAGGTTGTAGAACCAGGAACATGGGTGAAGGCTCTGCCCTGGGCCAAGTACAAGATCACAAAATCCACATGTCTAATAAATGGGGCTTTGCACGTTAACATGGATGTCTGAAGGCATAGTTGCTAAAAAGCATCATCTCAAGTTGTTGTGGGGACAAATATATCCTTTAGTGTGGACCCCTGGACAGACTCTCCCCCTCCTGAGGCCCTAATCCCCACCCCAATAAACCTAATTTTTATTTTTTTAAATGAAACAAAGCTCTTGAGGGAGGTTACTCCAGAGAGATACTACAAGGGAGTAAGGCACTTGTCTTGTAAGCTCATAACCCAAGTTCAATCTCTAGCATCATTTAAGGCCTCCCAAACAGGAGTGATCTGAGCACAAAGCAAGGAGTGATCACTGAGCACAGAGCCAGGAGTAAATCCAGAGCACTGCTTTCTATTGTTCTCCCCCCCCCCAAAAAAAAAAGAGAATAAAATATTAGTATTTTTGTCATGGGTAGTCTTTGAGGGTATTATACTGAGCAAAACAAGTCAAAGAATGATAAATACCCTATGTTTTCACTCTTATGTATAATCTTAAAAAAAAAAAGAAAGAAAAATGCCAAACCAAAGTAAACTAAAATCAGTTGATGTGGCCAATATTATTATCACTTTGGACCCCAGTACCTCCAGCATATCACCATCTGGGGAAACTCCAACTCCTTCCCGGGGAAGGAAAGAAAAGAGGGTGGCATGTGCATCTCACATTCTAGCTGTTTGGAGGTTGGGCTTCCTAGAGGAGGGATCTCTGTCTTGCCTAAGTCTGAGTGCAGACAAGGGCACACCAGGCTGGAGCCAGCTGAGAGATGATCTCTGTGGCTTGGTCATACTCCATGTAGTCACAGATGTTAGAGCACCTGTCCATGGCCCACTAAGGCCCAGTAATGAGCACAAGAATAGAAAGAAACAAAGCTCTTGAGGGAGGTTACTCACACAAGCCCAGAGACGATGTATCTGCGCCCCATCAGAACACTGCAGGGTCTCCTGGATCTCCCAGCTCAGCTGAGCATTGGAAGTTCTCAGAGAAACAGTACAGGAGGTAAAGAACTTATCAGTCATGCGACCAACCCTGATTCAATCCCTGGCACCTCATATGGTCCTCCCAGTGACCTTCTCCAGGGGTTGTTTCTGAGAGCCAGGAATATCCCCCTAAGCACTGCCAGTTGACTCAAAAATCAAAACACAGAGAGAGAGAGAGAGAGAGAGAGAGAGAGAGAGAGAGAGAGAGAGAGAGGAGGGAGGGAGGGAGGAAGGGAGGGAGGTGAAATATATTCCTTGCTTGAAGTCTATAATGTGCGTGCGTGCGTGCGTGCGTGCGTGCGTGTGTGTGTGTGTGTGTGTGTGTGTGTGTGTGTGTTGGGAGGCGGGGGGGAGAGGAGGATTGGGCCATACCCTACTCTCTGTGGTTAGCAGTTACTCCTGAAAGTGTCTGGGGAACCATATGCAGTGCTAGGGATTGAACCCGCTTGGTGCCATGGAAGGCAAGTGACTTATCCCCTGTACTATCTCTCCAGCCCCTAGATATACAGAGACATTTTTAAAATAAGGTAAAAAGGAGAGGGGCTCGTTTTTCTTAAACTCTCTCTCCTCCCTTGGCCCTCAGGAAGCGAGGGTGGCGCTGGGATGGGAGCAGATCAGGAGCCTGGTGCTCACCCAGCCCCGCTTTCTCTTCACAGGCGAGCAGGAGCCCGCGGTCAGCAGCGACTCCGACATCTCCCTCATCATGGCCATGGAGGTCGGCCTGTCCGACGTGGAGCTCTCCACGGACCCCGACTGCGAAGAGGTGAAATCTTGAACCGACAGGTGTCCAAGAGAAGGTGATCGGACTCCAGGGGACGGGAAGGAGGAGCGGCCCGAGATGGGCCCTTGGGCACCTGGACCTCCAAAACACCTTGGAAACCCCAGGGCTCTCCACTCCGGAACGGTCCCCAAAAGCAATATCCAAAGTCGCATTGGTCAGGCCTCCACAGCCCGTGGTCCTGCAGCCGGAGCCTGAAAGCCGATTTTCCTCCCACGGCCTCACGGACCCACAGGCGCTCCCCACCCCGCCAAGGGACTTCCTAGGACCTTCTTCACTGTCACTTTTCCCAGGTCTTTCGTGGGGGATGTTGTTGGGTTTCGTTGGCAGTTTTCTCTTTAGGGACGACGTGTGGATGGTATCTGTGCCCCTCCCCTTCCCGGCCTTTGATTCACTCCCGCTCTGGAGCCAGGTTCTCCTCCAGCTCTGACCCATTTGGATTTCATCTCCGAGATGAACAGCCGAGCCCTCCCAGCAGAAGGGGGGTTGCATGGCTTTGGGAAGTGCCTCACCCACTCCACCCCCATCCCCGCACCCCCCGCAACACCGAGACCAGCTTTCCTGAAGAATCTAAATGGATCTGGACTGTCGCAGCTGCCGAACCCCCTCTTAACACCCCCGCTACCCGCCCAAAGCCCAAGTCTGCTCCTTCACCTCAGCCCTCTCATACTGGCGTGCAGCTGACAGGACCCCAGGCCCTAAAATGCCAGCTCCCAGGGGGCGCATCCTCTGGTCCTGCCTTTGGCTGGAAATGGAGGCTCAGAAGCCCCTTCCAGGCCTGTTGTTCCTTTCTTCGTGGCTGGAGACCATGTGATTGGGATGGCAAGGTTAGTTCTAAACCACAACACCACTTCCGCTGCAGGGAGCAAAGAGCTGGACTCCCATCACATCCATTACCTCCATTACTAGTTTCCGGGGGAGCCATGGCCTTTGAAGGTTCCAGTCATTCCCGCCCGGCATCCAACACAGTGGGGTTTCCCCCAATTCCCACACACCCTGGCGACCTTGGAACACCTGGAGGAAAGATGCAGGGGGTCCCTGGGCACAGCTCCATCCCAAGGGAACAAGAGGGGTGTAGGGCGTGAGAACTGTTTCTGCTGACAGAAAGTCATGGGAGAAGGAAGGCATCAGAAGGGGAGGGAACCCTGCTTGGTCTGACACCCATTTTCATTGCTGTTCTTTGTGGGGACTGGGACAGATAAATTCTATTTCTTGTCATCCCACACAGAGAGATGAAGAGAGGAGGGAGTGGACCATCTGGGAGGACCCGTCCCCATGGGAAGGCCAGGCCACAGTGCGGGTGAACCCAGAAGGAACACCACCTCCCAACACACATTACTTGCATCTCGGATGGGGACACTTTCACCTCCTCACACGAATCATCCCCCATCCTTCCCACAACCAGTGTTGGGTTTAGCCCTAAGATCCCACTGCCTGCCATGACATGAGTTGGGAGGGTATTGGTAAAGAGAAAGCCCTAGGTGTTGGGGGGATTTCCCACCTTGAGCCATTTCCTGTATGACAGTTTATGAGCCAGTCAGACCCCAATGTTCTGAAAGGTCCCCTCCCTCAAAGGGTCACACTTATCCAGAAATCCAGTGTCTGGGTGGGAAGGCAGGAGAGAGGGAGGAGAAGAGGACTTATGTTTGCTAGGGCTGAGCTGCTCCCCCTAGAAAATGAGGGGTATGGCCAGATACTTACCTGAATTTCTGTGGGCCCAGGACCTATGAGGAGCAATTTCTTGGGGAATCCATATTTTGCAGATGATGGTTACAAATAACAGATGCATGGGGGGCTGAAATACTTGACACAGGACATTTGGCAGCTTTGGGGGTCAGCGCTCTGGAGTTGAGGAGAAAACAGCTCAGTGATGGCGTTTAAGTCCAAGTAGAAATTTTGTTTTATCTTGTTTTCAGCTCTATGAGGTTTCACATGAACCATATAGATCTGTGTGCTGAAGAAAGAATCTCAGACACAGAGAATCTCTGGAACCTTCAAATCTCCTTCTGGGTGTGGAATTCTTCACTCCAGAAACTCCCTTTTCTCGGTCAGCATAGCAGGGCACCATCCCCTCCTCCTGCATTCAACTCTGCTCTAAATCCATTTTGCTATTAACTTCAGTCAAGTGGAATTTCTTTTATTGTTAATCATTCAACAACAAATGAAACAGAACTGTCTTCCATGAAAGAAATAGGTCTAGGGGGTCAGAGTGATAGTACAGCAGGTAGGTTATTTGCCTTGTATGCAGCCAACCCAAGCTCAATCTTCCACATCCCATACAGTCATCTGAATACCACCAGGAGCACTTTCTGAGTGCAGAGCTAAGAGTAACACATAAGCATCACCATATGTGACCCCCAAAACAAACCAAAAAACCCAACTTTCCCTACTCAAAAATAATAATAATAATAAGTCTATAGCCCACACCCAGAAAAGAAATGCCCTGAGAACTATCTCATCAAACCAGCTCCTGTTTGATATGTGATTTCAGCTCCCACAGTGGCTGGCTAGTCAGAAATTGGTTGTAGGATGCAGTGGACTTGACTTCCAAGGGCCTGGAAAGTATCAGAGGCTTTTGAATCAGACCCTGAGGAGGACCTGATCCCCTGAACCTCAAAGGTTCTTGACCACCAAAGGTTTATGGAGGATTCCCACAGGTCTCATAGTTTCACTGTCATGAGAGGGCCCAAAAGACATAAAATTAGTCCTCCCTGGACTTTGTCACCACCTATTCCCCAACAGGAAAAATGGGCCTATCCACATAAGAGTGTCAAAGGGCACAGAACCCGCTAGAAGTGCACGCAGATGTGCACATTTTTCTGAAATGTCTAGACCAGCACTATCCAACGGGAAGAGAATACAGGTCACGTCTGTGATTTTTATTTTCCACCTTGAAGACAGAATATAAAATCAGGTCACTAGCATTCCTTCTATATCACTGAATTATCACCAACTTGTCCACCCTCCAAATTTACAATACAATAGAAATTTACAGTTCCCGAGTTCAGTTCTCAGGTCCCCCACTACTGTCTCTGTATATCATGTCATGAACAAAATATTCCACCTGTTCAGTAGTAAGACATCTAAACCCACATGGGGGTTACACTCATGGCACATCCCAGTGGACAAGATACCATGTGTGGTTCAGAGCAGTCCATGGGACAGGGCAACTCTAGCCCACCTCTGAGTGTCACCAGTGCAAACCACTGCCCTCCAGAGAGAATTAGATAGAACCCCAATTGCCACATGGGGAGCCTGGAGGTGATTTGTTTTGAAAGGAATAAAGATGCTTACCACCCTTTTTGAATTGTCTATTATAAATGCCCATTACCATTTCTTGTTACTTCTCTCACCAGTTGTTGTCTTTAAGAAGTCACATAAATCACTTAGATGTAGGTGCTGAACCAAAATCCTCATGTCTCACTTGTCAGACAAACCCTAACCCAGAGAGGTGGCCACCGAAAACCCAGGGGCATGTCAGACTGGCCTCCAGCTTTACCTCAACCTAGTTCCACTCCTTTCTAGCGGGCCAGTCTGTTCCCAGCCCCCAGTGCCCCAACCCCTACAGCTATAGCTGGGCAGCACAGAGACTGGGGGACACAGGTGGGAAATTACATACAAGAACTTGTGGCCTTATTGAGACAAAGTCTTGGTGCTCGCTGCCACCCACCCTCTACCTGTGAAGAACGAGCTCCCCCAAGGTTAGCCCTTAGCCCAGATGTCAGCACTTCCCTTTTGCCCCGAGGCTCATGCCAAGAAGAGTATTTCCATCCACCCAAGAGAACAATGCAGGGTTGAGACTAGAGATACCTTCAAGGACTGAGTGCTTGATTTCTGGCAGTCTATGGTTCCCCAAGAACCACTGGGGATGGCCCTAAGACAATTCTGGGTATGGCCCAAAATATTTTATAAGAAAACTTAAGAGTCACTTCTAGTAATCGTTCCCTCCTGATTGATGGGTCTCTTCAGGAAGACAGTCCAAATCAGAATACCGTGTCTGACATCTGACTATTGGTCCATTTTCTGCCTGTCATGGGTCTGGCTTTTGTCATAAAAGAAACCACAGTACCCAGAGACTCTTTCTGATACCCTTACTGACTGCTTGCCCCAGTCATGCTTCTCAGAACAGAATAGGATGGCAGAGTATCTAACTTAGGCTGCTTCTCATTCATGAGTCTAATTTAGGCTGTTTCTCATTGGTGAGTCTAACATAGGCTGCATTTCATTTGTGAGTCTAATTTAGGCTGCTTTACATTGGTGAGTCTAACTTGGGCTTTTCTCATTAGTAGGAGTCTAACTTGGGCTGTTTCTCATTGGTGAGGGTCTTACGGGGCTGCCTCTCATTGGCAAGCGCCTAATTTAGGCTGCTTCTTGTTGCAGAAGGTCTAATTTAGGCTGTTCTCCAGTGGCAAGAGTCTAATTAGGCTACTTCTTACTAGTGAGAGATTAGGCTGCATCTCATTGGTGAGTCTAATTTAGGCTAATTCTCATTAGTGAGCTTCCTTCCAATGACAATTCTGAGCATAAACAAAATTTTTAAATGGTATTTAAGGTCTGGAGAGATAGTACAGAGAGTAAGGCACTTGCCTTGCATATGCTTGACCCGGGTTCAATCCCCAGTGCTCCCATATGATCCCCCAGCCTCACCAGGAATGATCCCTGATCACAGAGCCCATAGTACAGCCAGGTGTAGCCCAAGTACCACAAAATAATAATTAATAATAATAATAATTTAATGATAGTCATCCACTGAATGCTTTGCTTCATCTGAAAGCATAAATCTCATTCCATCAAACTTCTCTCAGAAACCAGGAAACAGTCTCGGGGAAGGGGATGCCCAATTGTGGTACATGACTGGCAATTTCTGGTAGAATTCTTTACCTGTTCTTAGATTTCACTCTCTTTGCCATCTGTTTTCTCTTAAGCCACCACCCCTCCCCCCCATACACACACAGACACACTTTTCCCTTCTTTCAGGAACAAAATGCCTACGTGGCTTGAATCTATACGTCAGTGGCCACCCTCTCAGAGTGTGCTCTTGTGATGAGGAAACCCAAGTTATTTATTATAAAGACAAATCAGCTTGGAAGGATCGAGTCTCCACTTCTCAGGCCCCCTTTCCTCACGCCTTCTTGCCAGGAAAAAAAAAAAATCCGGGG